TACTAGGTTCCATCGAGTCTAGTTCGACTCACAGTGACCCTACAAACAAAAGATCAGAACCTTGTCCTATTCTGTGCTGTGCTCACACTTCCTGTCGCACAAGAGCCCATTGTAGCTGTCACTGCATCCATCCACTTGGTTCAGAGTCTTCCTCTCCTTTGCGAACCCTCCACCTTTGCCAGCATCACGTCTCTCTCCGAAGAGTAGCCCCTCCTAGCAACATGCCCAAAGTATGTGAGGTGAAGCCTCATCATTCTTGCCTCCAAAAATCACTCTAGCTGCATCCTCTCCAAGACAATTTTCTTCAATTATTGCTGTTAAAACCTATAATTTCCAAAAGTCCAATAGTTTAGACTTTTTCCTAGTTTTTGATCTTATGTAATGAGTAATGCTCACATGTGTCTGGATTTCCGTGGTTTCTAAAAGTCACACATGGTGTTACGTCTTTGTAGTGCACTAATTGTTACAGATGTAGAGTGTTAAGCTTTGGTGACATAGTCTGTAGAGAATTACAGTTAACCCAATGGTGGCTTCTCTCTGGCAGTATGAAAGCACCAGTGACTCCAAGAAAAAAAGACAGTCTGCTCTTATGCAATTTACAGACTCAGAAAACCTGCGGAATGATCAGCTATGAGTCTATTACAGATCAAGGTAACGAAATCAAGTAGGAGACACATATATTTCTCTTGCAAGAAATAATGTTTGTTTATTTTTCTATTGATGGACATTTATTTGTTTCTGTTTCTCTACTTTACTGAATGCTGTTGCTCTGAAATATTATGGCTATAGCTCACTAAATGCTTCCTTTTTAATTTCTTCCATGGCTTTTATGCATTAAATGTTATCCTCCATTTGGGAATTATGAATATTCTCTCCTATATTTTAATATTTTTTTAATGATTAGATCTTCAATATTTAACAATTTAAGCATAGATAATTTCTTTGGTGAATGGCAGGGTGTGTTTCTTCCTACCTGAATGGTATGATTTTTATCCAAATAGTTAAATTATTAAATGAGTAACCAATCCTTCCCCCACAGATCTTTTTACAAACTTTTATGATTTTGTAAATGATCATAAATATTCTCGTATTTATATTTATCTGTTTCCTTTCCCATTTCTACTCATATGGATTTAATTTAAAAAGTGAACTCATTTAGAGGGTTTGAAGTTTATTTGTAAATAAAGAATTCGTGTACACCACAGAACATTTTAATAAAATATAATTCATGCCGCATGGTTTCTATTTTTCTTGCTATCACAAAAGCTCACAATGCTGTCTCTCAAATAATTTTAATATTTTGAGACTGAAAACTTGATCAAATTTATGATAATTCATTTCAATTTCCTTATACTTCCCTCAATAGAGACATCAAGTTAAGAACGCAATGAATTTTTCAATTGAAAATCACATAAGCACAAAGTAATATGTATATTAAAATATATTTCCTAGTTAGTAGATTATTATGTAATTATTTTGAGCTGTGATTGGAATTCTACTCTTCATTTATATCCCAGATGAACTTCAAGGGACAATCTTTCATCTTCCTTTGGAAGATCCTGTCAAAACTTTCACTCTGCTCCACAGTCATATAATGCTTCCAGTCTCCAACTTTACCTAAGGGAATTAACACAAGAACCCCACCATTATGAAGTACAAGTATAAAGGCAAAAATATCCCCCATCTCTACTTAATCTCTTCCATAAGCGAAGTTAAATATCTGTGTTAGTCCTCGAAGAAGTTTGTTATTGCATCTTTCTTATATAGAAGAAAGAGCTAAGAAGTTAACTTCCTCTTGTTATTGTTATTGTTGTTGTTGTTATATACCTTAGAGTCACCTGATATTCATAGTGACCCTGTGCACAACAGTGCTAAACCCTGTTCTGTCCTGTGCCAATCTCACTGTCTCTGATACACTTACCAGAATTACCCGTCACTGAATCAGCCCATCTCAGAGTGTTTTCCTCTCCTGCGCTGTCCCTCCACCCTCCCAAGCATGATGTCCCTATTTGCACATGTCCAAAGTATGTGAGACGAACCTTCAGAATCCTTGCCTCCAAGTGCAGCATAGTTTCATCCTCTCCAGGATGAACCTGCTCATTCTCTTTGCAGTCCATGGTCTATTCAATACTCTTCTCCAACACCACAGCTCCTGGGCAACAATTCTCCTTCTAACCTTTCTAATCATTGACTAGCTTTCTGATGAAAAGCAAGTGATTGCAAAGACCGTGGCCTTTAACAGGTGTACCTTCGTCTCCAGACTGACATCATTGCACTTCAGTACTTTGCAGATGTCTCTGACAGCAGGCTTTCCCATTACAATATGTCTTTTAATTCCCTGGCTGTTGGTGCCAGGAATGTTGATTGTGCAGTGAAGCAAACCAAAGCTGTTAACAGTCTTAATTTCTTCACCACCCACCTATGGTGATGCTGCCAATTGGCCCAGTTGTCAGAATCTTTGTTTTCTTGATTTTGAGCTTCAATCTATATTGAAGGCTGCAGTCCTTGACTTTCTGGAGCAAGCGCTTCAGATCCACCTCAATTTCAGCAAGCAGGGTTGTGTCATGTGCATAACTCATATTGTTGATGGATCTTCCACCAATGCTGATACCACATTTCTCCTCCTAAAGCCCAGCCTCCCCAATAATCTGAAAAGGTATGGAGATAGGACACATCCCTGTCACACACCCTTCCCAACTTTAAAACATGCGATGTTTCCTTGCTGTGTCCTGACTACTGCCTCCTGGTCCAAGTGTAGGTTTCACTTCAGCACAATCATATGTTCTGGGATTCCCATCTTCTCAGAGTCAGCCACATTTTGTGGTGATCCGCACAGTCATATGCCTTTACATAATCAATGAAACACAGTCCCTGCTTTCAGCCAAGATCCATATAACATTAGCTACAATATCCCTAGTACCACAACCCCTTCTAAATCCAGCCTGCACTTCAGGCAATTCTCTATTGATGTGCTGTTTCACTCATTTTGGGGTAATCTTCAGCAGAAATTTGCTTACATGTGATATTAATGACATTGTTCGATAATTTCCACACTCTGTGGGATCACCTTTCTTTGGAATGGGAACAAATAGAGATCTTTTCCAGTCAGTTGGCCAAGTGGTTGTCCTCCAGATTTATTGTCACAACTTAATGAGCACATCTAGGGCAGAACTTAGAAATGCAGAAAAACGGTAAACAAAGTTTTGTAGTTCACTTCCCACTTTACTGTTAGAAATCCATCAAGTGCTGTGATTGAATCCTATTATTGTTTTAGAAGAAGGATAAAAATATTTCCAACAATATGGATATTAGAGTGTTTCCCTAGGTGTCAACTATTCTATTAGATGACCTACATATGCCATATAATTCTTTTTCCTCAGAAAATATGGAACGTTTCACAAATTTGCATGTCATTCTTGAGCAGGGGCCATGCTACTCTTCTCTGTATTGTTTCAGTTTTATTATATGTGCTTTCAAAGGGAGCACTGCATCCTTTAGTTCTTAAAGTAACTCTACAATGAAAGTGTTTCTTCATACTTAAATTTGGGGCAGGGGAATGAAAAATAAAAATTTTGAAATAATGAAGAAAAGATCACAGAGTACTCAGAGCTGCCATGTTTGCAGTTTTACTACATAAAATTTTGAATCCATCATTAATTTTTTTAAAATGAGTATTAGTGATTTAGTACCTTAAGCAATCTGATTTTTATCTGCACATATTTATACTGGAATTTACAGTAAATGGACAGTATTTGTGGTTGTTAGAAACTTAGAATTGGTTCCAAATCGTAACAATCCTGCTCTTTCCCTTTTTCACTGACTCTACTTTCTGAAGCACGATGTCCTTTTCCAAGGGTTAGTGCTTCCTGATAATATGCCCAAAATGCATGAGACAAAGTATTATCAATACATTTATCTGTAGAAGTGAACTCCACTTCCTAAACAACATGCCTCTGGAAACTCTATGAACTTTGATAAATGACCATAGTTACAGAAAGGCTTCTGGCCTCTTGTTCATAGGGTCGCTATGATTTGTGCTTCACTTGACAGCAATCAACAACAACAATAAGCAGAGTGTTGTAGGGTCAATATGGAAATATCAAAAATAGAACTGTCCTCCTTGTGTATATTCATTCCTTTTAGACAGGACTGACACTCTCTCTCTCTCCTTCCTCCCTCCCTCCCTTCCTTTCCCCCACTCTGTTCCCC